TCAGACATCTAAGTGATTGAAATTGTTAAAGTCTAATTTCTGAATAATTAAATACTCGGCAACTAGTCTAAACATCAGACATCAAAATGATCAAAATTGTTGGAGTCTAATTCCTGAAGAGATAAATTTTCTAGAGACGGGGGCCAGTCTACCTATAATCACATGTAATAGCGTTCCCGAGCGAGGATAGCTTGATTAAGAAATACGATGAAAGCTATTCCCATGCTTATGTATTATTTAAATATTTGAATATATGTCAACAGTCCTGACAGGGGACATAATCACAACTGAAGTCAAAGAAGTTTCAATAGTGATATACCTAGTATATGGACATGGCCCTTAGGAGGAACATCTTTATCAGCAAAATGAAGTTGTTTAAATGATTATAATATACAACGTATATTCTATAATCATTTAATTTTGCCTAATTCCCCCATAATATATTTTTTGGTATATATCGCATATACCTAAAAAAAAAACTGATCACGCAACTACTTTTTACACTTCAGAATGCAAAATTACAACGCGCTTTTTTTTAGCGCAATTGTTAAGTTTACGTTAAAAATAAATAAATCTTTATACCGAAAACAAATTGTGCACTTTTTGCATAAACCGCGGATTTATGCAAAGTGCGCAATTTTTTTCCGTATATATCGAATATACCAAAACAAAATCTTGGTCATTCCTTAATTAATGAAGACAGCAATGCATGATTTTTTCAGTTTCAATAGTACAAAAAAAGAGTACATAACAAAGGTCCCGCCCATTTGGTAATTATGACACCAATGAGGTTAACGACTTCCAAAACAAATATTTTATTTTGAATGGATTATGAATTTTGAGAATTTAGTTTGTTCCCGGCGATGCACGCAGATGACTTGATCGTATGGGTGGATTTTGCTAAAGAATTACAAAATGTGTTGAATAATTTATATACCTCCGCTTAATCCTGAAGCTATACTGTAAATGTGAAAAACAAACGAAAATAACTGTTTTTCGGAAAGATTGAAATAATACGTTAATATGATTATGGTTATATACTGGTCAGAAAGTGTATGTACAGATTGGAGAGTTGTTTATTAAGATTTGAAAAAGGCTTAAAATACTCATGACTCACATTAAGAATATAATAATTATTTTTCTTCAAAAGCATCACATGCACTGCCCATAGGGTAAAATATCAAAATATTCCAAATCGCTGATAATTTTGTACTTAAATCATTTGACAAAAGAATTGAAATTGTAAATCTGCATGGAACTGTACGTTTGCTAGGCTATATGTTAAATAGTTCGTGTGAGGTAGATGTACTGTGCTGTGATAAAATAATGGATTACAGAATTGTGGGAAAGAAATGTACTTGGGTATCAATATAAGTTTAAGTTCTACAATCAAGCTCCATCAGGTTCACCGATAGTGTGCCTGGCGGGGAACACCCCATCGAGTTAGCAAGGGGTCAAATATGTCAAAAGCAGCTGAAGAATTGAAGAATCATGAATGGAAAAGCCAGGGCCAATATTCATGAAACCGTTCTTATGCTCAAACATGGATGTTGTGTTAAAAACAACTTTTTTGCAACTCGCTTACCGTCACGAAGTCAAGTAGTGAATACCGGATGATGAAGGTAGAATCAACAACAATGATATAAATTCAACTTATTTATTAACAATTCACTATATATATGTACAGAATATACACAAGTGATAACGACTGAGTTGCTTCCTGTAAAAGGAACTATAACCTAGTGGTAATCGTACTATGATCAAACGCTCAATTGCATACTGATTACCACACAGCATCAACATACACCCTAATAACTAAAATAACTGGGGGTGTAAGCACAGTTCTGTAGTGACACAACTACATGAAAATGTAGGCCACATCAATGTTCTATTCAAGTGTTAACACAATACTCAAATGTACCATGGTTCATATTTATAGACGTAGCAGAGGGCTGTGATGTAGATTCACCCTGTCTCTGAAGTCATAGGGTTCCTCAGGAGTCGTTGAAGTGCCCAGGACCTTCCTCATCCCTGTCGCGGTGTGACTGTCAGCGACGTCTCTATGAAGTGTCCAAGAAGAGTCCGTGACAAGCAGCCGTGACGAAGGAAGTATATATAAGTTGTAATGACCTGGGTGCCGTCACTCTCGTGTCGTCCCGTCCCTACACTGGCTTTAGGACCCCCACTGCATGGTCCCCATCACTCGAACAACAAAAGGTCAACAACCTAAGGGTCACTTCCGGTATCAAATATATTCAAACTTCCGGTTCGTAAAATTACCCCTAAAACAACTTTTACATATTGACAATATATTACAGCCATTTAGCATATGTCTAACAGCCTAGAACAGTTCATAAATGCCACTGAAACAAGTAAGTTTTCATTAGTTATCCGTCTGGTAAACTACACACTCACGTCCCTTACAACTAGCCCCTGGTTCAGCAGGAACAGAGTACAAGGCCCTAGCTAGAAAACATCAAAACATGTATCTTTCATCCTGATAAGTGCAGTTATCCATTTAGCCTACAATTACTCGGGATAGTCCATATTGTCCAGTATATTTGTTCTGATGAGTGCAGTATGTACAGAGGTAGACTTGTCTACAGCTTAAATAACCCTTATTATTGGCCCTAGAACAATGCTTAGCTGAGAATTTAATGACAAACCATCTTGACAGGAATGGTTGAACTTAACAGTATTCTAGTTGACTTGGGTAGTTGACCGGCCTGGTTGATTGGTATAGTTGACTTGAGTTGTTGACTTGTTTGGTTAAATAGGGCTGGTTAGCTGGACTGGTTGACTAGGGTGGCTAGCTGGACTGGTTGACTGGACTGGTTGACTGGGGTGGCTAGCTGGACTGGATGACTGGGGTTGCTGACTCGACTAGTTGACTGGGGTGGCTAGCTGGACTGGTTGACTGGACTGGTTGACTGGGGTGGCTAACTGGACTGGATGACTGGACTAGTTGACTGGGGTGGCTAACTGACTGGATGACTGGACTGGTTGACTAGGGTGGCTAGCTGGACTGGTTGACTGGACTGGTTGACTTGGGTGGCTAACTGGACTAGTTGACTGGTCTGGCTGTCTGGACTAGTTGACTGGTCTGGCTGGCTGGACTGGGTGACTGGGGTGGCTAGCTGGACTCGTTGAATGGACTAGTTGACTGGGGTGGCTGACTGGACTGAATTACTGGTCTGGTTGACTGGGGTGGCTAGCTGGACTGGATGACTGGGGTGGCTGACTGGACTGGTTGACTGGGGTGGCTAGCTGGACTCGTCGAATGGACTAGTTGACTGGGGTGGCTAATTGGACTGGTTGACTGGACTAGTTAACTGGGGTGGCTAACTGGACTGGTTGACTGGACTGGTTGACTTGGGTGGCTAACTGGACTAGTTGACTGGTCTGGCTGTCTGGACTAGTTGACTGGTCTGGCTGTCTGGACTATTTGACTGGTCTGGCTGGCTGGACTGGGTGACTGGGGTGGCTAGCTGGACTGGTTGACTGGACTGGTTGGCTGGGGGGGCTAACTGGACTGGATGACTGGACTGGTTGACTAGGGTGGCTAGCTGGACTGGTTGACTGGGATGGCTAGCTGGACTGGTTGACTGGGGTGGCTAGCTGGACTGGATGACTGGGGTGGCTGACTGGACTAGTTGACTGGTCTGGCTGGCTGGACTGGTTGACTGGGGTGGCTAGCTGGACAGGTTGAATGGACTAGTTGACTGGGGTGGCTGACTGGACTGGATTACTGGTCTGGTTGACTGGGGTGGCTACATGGACTGGATGACTGGGGTGGCTGACTGGACTAGTTGACTGGGGTGGCTAACTGGACTGGATGACAGGACTTGTTGACTGGGGTGGGGGACTGGACAGGATGACTGGCCTGGATGACTGGGGTGGCTGACTGGACTAGTTGACTGGTGTGGTTAACTGGACTGGTTGACTGGACTAGTTGACTGGGGTGGCTAACTGGACTGGTTGACTGGACTGGTTGACTGGGGTGGCTAGCTGGACTGGATGACTGGGGTGGCTGACTGGACTAGTTGACTGGTCTGGCTGGCTGGACTGGTTGGCTGGGGTGGCTAGCTGGACTCGTTGAATGGACTAGTTGACTGGGGTGGCTGACTGGGCTGGAATACTGGTCTGGTTGACTGGGGTGGCTAGCTGGACTGGATGACTGGACTAGTTGACTGGGGTGGCTAGCTTGACTGGTTGACTGGACTGGTTGACTGGGGTGGCTAGCTTGACTGGTTGACTGGACTGGTTGACTGGGGTGGCTAGCTGGACTGGTTGACTGGGGTGGCTAGCTTGACTGGTTGACTGGACTGGTTGACTAGGGTGGCTAGCTGGACTAGTTGACTGGTCTGGCTGGCTGGACTAGTTGACTGGTCTGGCTGGCTGGACTGGTTGACTGGGGTGGCTAGCTGGACTCGTTGAATGGACTAGTTGACTGGGGTGGCTGACTGGGCTGGAATACTGGTCTGGTTGACTGGGGTGGCTAGCTGGACTGGATGACTGGGGTGGCTGACTGGACTAGTTGACGGGGGTGGCTAACTGGACTGGATGACTGATCTGGATGACGGGGGGGACTGACTGGACTAGTTGACTGGGGTGGCTGGCTGGGGTGGCTGGCTGGGGTGGCTGACTGGACTAGTTTATTGGACTGGTTGGCTGAGGTGGCTAGCTGGACTGGTTGACTAGACTGGTTGACTGGGTGTGGCTAGCAGGACTAGTTGACTGGTCTGGCTGACTGGATTAGATGACTGGTCTGGTTGACTGGGGTGGCTAACTGGACTAGTTGACTAGGGTGGCTAACTGGGGTGGCTGACTGGACTAGTGACTGGGGTGGGGGACTGGACAGGATGACTGGCCTGGATGACGGGGGTGGCTGACTAGACTAGTTGACTGGGGTGGCTGACTGGGGTGGCTGACTGGACTGGATGACTGGTCTGGTTGACTGGGGTGGCTAACTAGACTGGAAGACTGGGTGACTGACTGGACTAGTTGACTGGGGTGGTTAACTGGACTGGTTGACTGGACTGGTTGACTGGGGTGGCTAGCTGGACTGGTTGACTGATCTGGATGACGGGGTTGGCTAGCTGGACTGGTCGACTGAACTGGTTGACTGGGGTGGCCAGCTGGACTAGTTGACTGGTCTGGTTGACTGGACTGGTTGACTGGGCTGGTTGACTGGGGTGGCTAGCTGGACTGGTTGACTGGGGTGGCTGACTGGACTGGATGACTGGGGTGACGGACTGGACTAGTTGACTAGGATGGCTAACTGGACTGGTTGACTGGACTAGTTGACTGGGGTGGCTAACTGGACTGGATGACTGGGCTGGTTGACTGGGGTGGCTAACTGGACTGGTTGACGGGGGGGGCTGACTGGACTGGATGACTGGTCTGGTTGACTGGGTTGGCTAACTAGACTGGATGACTGGGGTGGCTGAGTGGACTAGTTGACTTGGGTGGGTAACTGGACTGGTTGACTGGGGTGGCTAGCTGGACTGGATGACTGGTCTGGTTGACTGGGGTGGCTAACTAGACTGGATGACTGGGGTGGCTGACTGGACTAGTTGACTTGGGTGGGTAACTGGACTGGTTGACTGGGGTGGCTAGCTGGACTGGTTGACTGGTCTGGTTGACTGGGGTGGCTTACTGGACTAGTTGACTGGGGTGGCTGACTGGACAGGATGACTGGTCTGGTGGACTTGACTGGATGACTGGGGTGGCTGACTGGACTATTTGCCGGGTTGGGGAACTGGACTAGATGACTGGGATGGGGGACTACATGTACTGGTTGACTGGACTGGTTTACTTGGCTGACTGACAGACTGGACTGGTTGACTTGGCTGACTGACTGACTGGACTGGGTGACTTGGCTGGCTGACTGACTGGACTGCACTGGTAGACTTGGGTTGGCCGACTCAACTAGTGGACCATTACTGCTCAGCTAGTTTGTCCAGTATCTGTTTCCTGTAAAATAGGAAGAATGAAACTGTTCTACACAAGACATCTTGGGTTGTTCTCTTGGTTACACTTATATAAATAAATATCACATCTTTAAAATATCAGGTAATGGTATATGTAAATATTTACTTTTTTGTTTGGCCTTATATTCAGGGTGAAAATATCGTAGTATAGCTTACAGATTGCAGTGAAACTAATGCCAAATATTCTCCCTTAATAAAATCTAGTTTCACCCAAGAGCTGACTTCACCCTTCAAACTGGAAATACTGTGTTTAACAGACGTATACTAATATTCCCAAGAATAATTACATTGCCCTCATTATGGCGAGTAAAAAGGATAAAATTGACACTGTAGCAAATGATTCTCACATAAAATACAAAATAGAAATCTTACAAAGCATGAAATTAAACCTCCTAGCTTTCCCATCATCACTGAACGTAAGGATTTACATGCCCTTACCTCACCACTCATGGAATGTAATAACCCATACCCAATACATCCTCACCTGCCCATTAATTCAAAATGTAATGCTCCATATATCCTTACCTTCCCCATCGCCACAGAATGTGATGAGCCAGGGTCAGTCATTGTCAGGGTTATTGGTGAAACAGTTTCCTGACCACAGATTGAACACCGTGGCCTTGACATGTTTCAAAGCGTACTTCACCATGGCGCCAGTCATCCTCTCACCCTGATACTTCTCTTTCTGTAAAGGTATTTTACAAGGCAAGTTGAAATATATTTAAATCTCTCATTTGAAATTCAGATCAGATTATCTATCGGGAACAGAACTAGCTTTTTTTTTACAGAATAACTGTATACCGGGAAACTTTCCCCAGTCAAACTATCCCCCCAGTCAAACCTTCCCCCAGTCAAACTCCCCCAGTCAAACCTTCCCCAGTCAAACTTTACCCCAGACAAACTTTCCCCCCGTCCCCCAGTCAAAACTTCTCCCAGTCAAACTTTTCCCCAGACAAACTTTTTTACAGAATAACTGTATACCGGGAAACTTTCCCCAGTCAAACTAGCCCCCCAGTCAAACCTTCCCCCAGTCAAACTCCCCCAGTCAAACCTTCCCCAGTCAAACTTTACCCCAGACAAACTTTCCCCCAGTCCCCCAGTCAAACTTTCCCCCAGTTCCCCAGTCAAACCTTCTCCCAGTCAAACTTTTCCCCAGACAAACTTTTTCCCAGTCAAACTTACCCTCAGTCAAACTTTCCCCAAGACAAACTTACCCTCAGTCAAACTTACCCTCAGTCAAACTTTCCCCCAGTCTGTACAATTGACCCTGGAGAATTAACGCTTAAAACTGACCAATGAAACTCCAAACATAAGTTGTCCAATTTATTCTGAAGAAAATGGTATACTTGGTTTTTCAATATCTTTCACAGAACGGCCCCAAGAGGGTTTTGAAAATGGGGTGTATTTCTGGGGTTTCGTGGAATTTTCCAGAAGATCCGATTTCCCCGTAGTCAAGCGCTAATTTGCGTACCCCCTCTAGACTACAAATGAGATAAAATCTTGTTGTGCATGTGTTAAATAGGTTGAAATGTTCTAGCCGCTTATCCGGTCCAACTTGTAGCAGTTAGTTGGATTGAATTTTTACTAGTGCCAGTAATTTTTACCATTTTATGATATCAAATGCGATGTTCTAGTTTATGGCTATTTTACTACGATCAATGTTTGCTGCTGATCAAAATCATGCATGTAAGATATGACCCACCGCTTAAAATCTCTAACAAAATCCCGTAGGCCTACTCTCATCTGTGATACTTTGTTTACGTCTAAAAATAGCAACGGTAATCCCCAGCTTGAGAAGACATCACTACACGCGCGACTAGCATTATATATCGGTGTATAGGCCTAATGATAATGAGCATTACAAAAGACTGTAAATGAGTCATTTTTGGAAATTGTCCCATTTTTTGGAACAGGAAAACTCAAAAGAGAAGTGCTGTTACTTTTCATTTAATATGGCGTGTCAAATGTTGCAATAATTTTATATTGTATGTTCGAAATTTTATATTTGTATTCAGTAATTGTAAATATATGTGCAATACTTCATATTTGTATTCAATAATTATAAATATATGTGCAATATTCTATTTGTATTCAATAATTGTAAATATATGTGCAATAACAAAAATATATGTTCAATAAAAAATATATATGTGCATATTTGTTCGAACAATAACCCCGAATATTTTCCCTGTATTTCATATCTACTCTATTTCTATTTGTTCTCTTTCCGGCGGTTCCTCCCTTGACATCCTTCCTCGTATGACTGTCACACGAACTAGCTGAGATTATCTAGTGTAGAGTATATCATTAGTTGTGATGGTCAGTCTCCACAGCTTTTGTTTCATCCCCCCCCCCCCCGAATATTTTCCCTGTATTTCATATCTACTTTATTTCTATTTGTTCTCTTTCCGGCGGTTCTTCCCCTGACATCCTTCCTCATATGACTGTCACACGAACTAGCTGAGATTCTCTAGTGTAGAGTATATCATTAGTTGTGATGGTCAGTCTCCACAGCTTTTGTTTCATCCCCCCCCCCCCCGAATATTTTCCCTGTATTTCATATCTACTTTATTTCTATTTGTTCTCTTTCCGGCGGTTCTTCCCCTGACATCCTTCCTCATATGACTGTCACACTAACTAGCTGAGATTCTCTAATGTAGAGTATATCATTAGTAGTGATGTTCAATCTCCACAGTTTCTGTTTTATTTGTAAGTGAGTTACAGATATGAATATTAATGAGTAACATTTAACGGAAGACAGGAAATGATGTTATACATGTATGTGCATGGAAACCCTTATTTAACTACAGTTCTCTGTCAACATTCACATTTAGTCTTTTGCCTCACACTCAGTGGCGTAGCATACACTAACGTTTTCAACATTTATATATATGTAATCATTTCTTTTTTATAAAAACATTGAAAAATGTAGAATTCTGAATCAAAACTAGTTGGTGATTTTTTTTTTTAATATTATTCATATAAAAAGTCGCGTTTTACTTGTTTATAATCTGACTAAAAGCATTTCCCAGAATATGAGAAATTGCTTCTATGGCCTAGTAAAATTCAATTTTTGTCAAGCTATAGATTTACTCCCCCTCCCATCTTCCCATACCCTCCTCTACTCTGGCGCCACGAACCCCCGACCCCTTGTAAGCATACACTCCGAAAAATGATTTGCTACGCCACTGTTTTGAATGACCTTTTGAAAACAAGAAGACCAAGGGTCCTGACGATGTTCACCTGGTGTACATTTATATCTGAATGGACCTGTGACCTCACAACACTGATATTATTTTTTCAAATTGATCATAATGCCTCATTACCTACATTTTACCCCTGTGAAAAAATGGTTGGATATCCTAGGACTATCCTAGGATTTAAAGGTGGGTCAAATCCTAAAAAATTCCTAGGAAATCCCAGGACTAGAGAAGTAAGGATAAACGAGGGATGGTATTGGGACGGGATATCCCAGGATAACCCAGGACAAAAATGAAACATAGGACATTGTATATCTCAGGAAATCCTACGCTGACTATATCCTTGGAAATCCCAAGATGTCCCACCTTTTAGTCTGACTTCATACCAGAACATCCCATGTTGTCCTATCTTCAGTTTTTTCCTAGGAAGTCCCATGTTGTCCCACCTTTGATTCTATCCTAGGAAGTCCCATATTGTCCCACCTTTAATTTTGTCAAAGAAAATCCAATTAGTCCCATCTTTTTGGAAAAGGGTCCGAGTCTCAGAGCATCATAAATTCTTAAATATTGATATTGAAATTTCAATAAAACAGGGATAAACAAAAAAACACTAATTTTCACAGATATAAGAATTTTCATTTCAGCATTATTTACACATGGGTGCATTTCATAGCCAATCAAAAGTTAATTCTTTTGAACAAGTGTCCAGGCCACCATGTTGACGCCTCACATTTTTCATTTGATCTCTCATCTTTGACCGCACCG